CAGTCTCTTCGTGCAAAGGAAACAGAAATTGATGTATCTTCCTAAAAAATTGTTCAATCTGTGGGGTAGGGTAGGGGGACAGAAATGGCAAAAAAAATTATGTTCTTTCTGGACCATTTCTTATTGCAAATTTTGAAGTCAACTTTAAATCAAGAACAATTCTGAATTAGGAAAAGGTGATTAACTTTAAGATAATTTATTAACACTCTGTACCTGGCTTTGGCTTTCAGCATGGAAATGGAATCTAAAATTTCTCCTGGTTTACATTTACCCATTGATGGCCTACAAAGGTTGTTTTCAATATTGTTGACAATCTACAGCCTGATGTACTGGCAGCAGTTGGAATGCTGTGGTCTCTTGGGCACCATGGAGATTGCCTGAAAACTGTGAAGAAGACTCTTATTTTTCACCTCTGTTTTAGTTCTTTTTTTCCTTCCCCTTTCAGTGGAATTTCATTAGTGTTTTTATACTTTCCTCTTCTTTCTCATCTCATAAATTAATCTATAGAAAGGAAAAGATCAATACATCTAAACTGAGCTATAGATGCCCTAGACAGCTTAATAGGTTACTTAGGCAGGGTCACATATCAGCAGTGATCAAAGCCCTCCTTGTGATAGTCAAAGGAATGAAGCTCTGTAGAATTTCAGGTACTTCTCAGTGGGAGAAGATTTTCCAGGAGTCACACTATGCTCTACTTCAACTATGTGACGTCTAGGTCAGGCAGAACAGAGCTGTCCTTGTGTGATAGTGACACAGCGGCACTGGGTATTATCAGCTACTGAACATTCCTGCTGTAGCATCATCCTAGCACAGTTCAAAAAACTCTCCAGAACATTTTAGAAGACTCATGCCTTTCTCAGAAAGTAGAGTGAGTGGATTATGGGCCTCTCCCTCTGCCTGCTTCTGTTTACTTCATCCACAAAAAACAAAACTTTAAGGCCCCAAGAAATTTTCATATGGTCACACAACTGGCCCAGATGGGAATGGCTGTCAAATCTCCTGACTTCCAGCCGATGCTTATTCCACCATATTCTGGTGTATTAGAACATGACAATGGCTCTAAAAATAGAGCAGATGCAATTAACAGTGGAGGCAAATTAACCTGGCACATTCATTATCCTAGGGCTTTCTCCCTTTGTAATTGGATATAGCACTGCCGAGCCAGGCGTATACTCTAATCAGTATGTGCTCTACTATGGAGAGAGAAATTCCACTCAATTTCATATTCAGCTCTCTTCTTGAAGGGGAAGGGAAATCCAGGCCAGTAGAATTGGAGCCTTTTATGGGGCAGAGCTCATCCTATTCAGGTCACCCCCCTCTGTGATTTTCTCTGCCCAGAAGATTGCCAAAGGGGACAAAAAAGAAAAAACATGCCAGTGCTACAGGACATACATGAATAAGGCAAAAGGAGATGGGAAGATAGTGTGTGTGTGTGCACACATGTGTGCATGCTGCACGTAAGAGGGCAGGCACATGGAAGGAGAGATTCAGGTGGCAGAGAATGTCTTCAAATGTTTGGCCTCCAGGGGAAAAATTTAAAGCAAATTGAAATCAGAGACTGTAATATTATTATTCCAGAATATAAATCAGCAAACATTTATTGGATACCTACAATGCTCAAATGAAGACAAATAAGATTTGATTCCTGCCCTCAAAGAGCTTACAATCTAGTGGGAACATGTTCACAAATAACAAATACAAGGCAGAAAGAGTCAGGGTATTTCTAAGACAGATACATACAATGTCATTATGAGGCAGGATAAACACCAAATGGATGGTCTAACTTTTAAATGGTATGTCACATAGGTGATGCTACATGAGTGTTATATTCTAGATAGCAAAAAACCAATATA